AACCCAATTTGGCCCCAATTACTATCCCTACACAGTGCTCCAAACTGACCATGCTCAAAACAGGGAGTCCAAACCAAATGTCAACCCCAAAAAAAATTAGCCAAATGTACAAATAACATACTAACAAAACTACCATATAACCGGTCTCCAATTGGACAAGCCCACAGTGTTACGACCTGACTCATAGTTCGTAACAACAAAGGGACTTAAATGTAAAAAGGAATACATTTATTAATAAATACTAAATAATACTAAATACAAAAATGTGACATAAGCCGTGGACGTCTGTAGGATCAGTTGTGTATGCAGTGTGTGGAGATGATGTATGGTGAAAACAAACCAAAAAACCAAAAGGTGGTGGAAGCCAGCCTGCCAGTCAGGGAAGAGAGCCTGCAGGCCAAGCCTGCCCAAGTGCGCCACATCAGCTGACGATCCTCCCAGCTCTGCCCACTGGCCTCCTGCAAAAAGCAGACTACCAAACAGGAGATCCCAGCAGACAGAGTGGGAGGGACGTCACAAGGCTAATGCATACAAAGCAGAAAGTTTCCAAATAATCTGTGGGACAACAAAAATATTTTCATCTCAAAGTCGTGTGTCTGACCACCCGCAGCATGAAAAATGCTGATCGCACCACAATGATCTCTGTCGGGATCTGCAGGTCCCGCAGGCATCCCGCGGGAATGCAGCCCTCTAGTGCAGTCAGTACACAACACTATGATCATAATTTCTTAGTAGGATCAGCTGGTGACAGGGGTCCCAGCAGGGTCAGACAGCCAGGGAAGACCAGTCTACGGAGCTCAGGGGAATTTTGCAGTATATTAATAATATCAGTGAATGATACAAAGTTCCATCTTGAATTGATGGGTAGACCTACAGTAGCTACTGGACAGCAGCTTAAGCTTAAAGCTACAGTCTGGGATCTGGAAATAATGGTAATTTCAATTATTGAACCATTGATTCTATTATTGGATAATATAATGTATAAATGTACACCAAGGTAATTCTTTGTCATGCCTCATCTTAGGAGGATCAGATGGTGACAGGGGTCTCAGCAGGGTCAGGCAGCCAGGGAAGACTAGTCTGTGACGGGGCTGAGGTGAATTTCTGCAAATACAACACTTTATTCCCTCTGTGCAGCAAACACTGGACAAGCCAGATGCTATTTTAAGGCAGTCTGACAAACCTCCAAAGTTGATTTCCAAACTGTATCAAGGGTTGATAGAGGCTTTTCCCGATGACACAAAACACATAAAACAAAAATGTGAGGAAGACCTGGTAGAAGCTATTGATGATGATGAATGGATACAGATATGTTTGAATGCCCAGTCATGTTCATATAATTTCAGACATAAATTACTGCAGATTAAGACCATCCATAGAACGTACTATATGCCAGCAAAACTGAATTACATGCATTCAGAAATGTCATTCCTCTGCTGGAGGTGTAAAACACAAAAGGGGACATATTTGCATATGTTATGGTCTTGTGAAGGCTGGCTGAATTATGGCTGAATTCTGGCAAAGATTATGTTATTTTATCTCAGCATGTCTACAGATTCTCCCTTCTCCCTGTTTTTGTTTGCTTGGAAATGTTGATACTGGAGACTTATTTTAAGAAACTGTGTAACCAAGCATTTATAGCGGCTAAGAAATGCATTGCCATTAATTGGAAGGTTGGTTATCCTCCCACAATGTCAAGTTATGTATCACTAGATTTGATTTATTACAAGATTAAGGGTATACTGGGCAACTTTCATAAGGTCTGGATGCCTTATATGGAATACAGTACGACTAAAGGAGTCTGTATTGAAAACATGCCCACGTCAGGGGAGATACCTATTTAGGCAATCCCTAGCTGCTGGGCTGCTCAGTCCTGGCCCTGGGGGTCTGCCATCCTGTGGGTTGTCACTCTGGCCTTGGCCTAACACACCCAAAACCAATAAATGAATGTTTCACTAAGATCCTAAAGCTGAGTGGGGTGTGTTGGGTTGGGGCACTAAAGGGTGGTGGACCCCTAGGGACAGGACGGGGAGACCCAGCTATATTGTGTGCAAGTAAAAAGAGCTCTACAGTACTATTAGTCCTATGAGATTAATTATATGGAGGATTAGCTGTTTCTGTGTGTTAATGTATATTTAATGGGGTTTTTAGTTTCCAAATCTTTCCCTTGGGAATAAAACAAATTAAAGGTGTGAACTGGGAAGGAAAATGTGTTGGGAGAGAGTTTAGTTATTGACTAGACTGGTGGGGGTTGGGCATGCAGGCAGCTCGGGCTGGCTGGTCGGTCTGGCTGAAATTTGATATAGAGGATGTCTTAGAAAAGACAATCAAAAGTTTTGTATTTTTTCAAGAGTTGTTAATTTGTTAGGCTATTGGTTAAAGGTGCAACACAATATTTATTATTGAATTACCTTTGAAATAGTTCAGTCTTATGAATCACTTAAACATATTTAATAATGATCTCTTACCTAGCTTGATGACTGTGGGCATTTTGCTTACTTTTTGTTCTAAATAGAGATGGCATATTGGATTGTGTAAAAATGCAGGAAATGAGCTTTAGATGGCCCAAAACATTCTGGGGGAGGACACCCAGACCCCCCGCCAGGTTATGTCCTCTCCTCTTCTAAAACCAAAGTGGCGCCGCTGAGGAGGGGCTGTATTATCATCAGGAGACGTATACTTCTATTACGGAAGAGGAATGAAGGGGAAAAGAGAGGCAGAGGAGGTTGAAGAGAGAGAGAGGGAGGAAGAGGGTGAGCTTGAATTGGTTAAAAATGGAGGGAAAAAGGGAGATGGTTTGTTGAAGAAGAATGGTAGAAAGTGTAAGCAGAGTGACCTGTACACCGGATCGAAGACAGGAGGAGAAATGGAAGTGAATGAGGGCGAGTATCAGAGGTGGTAGGTGTGGTGAAGTTCTCGGAGCCCGAGGCTTGCACCGAGGGTCAGGATAAAGATGAGTCTGTGACGGTAGTGACATTTTTGGAAGAAGTGGACCCTTGCCTTTTGGCTGATTCATTTGTGGTTTCAGGGTGGGTGAAAATGGAGTTAGGTGCTGTGGAATCGGTGATGGTAACCTGAAGCATAGCCGTGGGAAGTAGGGGTGCGGAGGATGCTGCAGCACCCCCCTGAAAAATCGGAATAAAAGAAAAGTATGTATTTTGGGCCTTTAATAGTCCTGTATTAGCGGACGAATATAGCAAAAACTCCCTGCGTAGAACAAAAAAATTTCGCAGCACCCCACCCCCAAACTACTTTCCCACGGCTATGACCCGAAGTGGTCTTGTGATAATTGTTTGTGTTTCTGTTGGTCAGAGGGAGCAGGCGCTCCGTGTTAAACGACTGGGGACAAGAGATGTGAATTGTTTTGTGCTCAAGAAAAGGGGGCCATTGAAAGGAGTGATTTCTGGGGTAGCAATAAATGTGAAAGAGGACCAACTGAAGGGGAAGATTCCCAGTGTTTGTGATGCTCGTCGTTTGGTGTGACACAGACAGTGTGGTGTGAGTGGAGAAACAGAGTTTTGATGTTGAGTCTTTGCCCGACAAAGTGATGGTAGGATATATCAGTTATCCCGTACAAGCTTTTGTACCGGTAGAAGCGGTATGTGTTAGTTGTAGGGGTGCCCATGGGGCTGGGGATCCGAAATGTCCGGTGAGAGAGAGGCAGGTTGAGGTTATCCAGGTTAAAGTAGTGCAGAAGATGTCGTATGCTGAGGCAGTGAAGAAAGTAGAGGAAGATGGGTCAAGGGGGAGGGATCCTGAGAGGAGTGGTGTGAGTAGTAGATCTTTACCAGTACAGAGGGCCAACAAGTGATATACTGTATGCTTCAGTAAGATTGCATTTTTTGCGTTTATAGCAATGGTTATAAACTGTACTACAGGGATGGAACGTAAGTCGCAGAAAATTGAGGTTGTGGTGGCAGCTGCAGATAACTATTTCGGTGTATGAGATTTGACGTCAGAGGTGTTACAGGGTGTGTTGAGTGGTGGTATAATAATAAGCCATTTAGCAGACGCTTTTATCCAAAGCGACTTACAGTCATGCGTGCATACATTTTTGTGTATGGGTGGTCCCGGGGATCGAACCCACTACCTTGGCGTTACAAGCGCCGTGCTCTACCAGCTGAGCTACAGAGGACCACTGTCCCGTCCTTTCAGGCTGTTGGCCTGAGGTACGACTAGTTAGATTTAGTGGAGTAGGGTGGTGGGTTTTTAATGAGTGTAGGGTTAGATGGTAGGTTTTTATTTTATTATTTTCAAGCAAAGTATGAGGGAGTTACACTCCAGTCTAGTTGGTGGCGGTAATGCAACATTTATTGGATGCCAACCACCATTAAACCTCATCGAAGAAGAACATTATTTTTACACAATGTTAGCTAGCTATGTGTCTTCACAATTGTTATTTGATTGAATGTATTGCTAGCTGGACTCAAAATCAATACACTGTTTCGTTGGAATATCACTCACACATGGGCTCAATGTTTGATTCACTATCTCCTGGGATCTAGCCAGCCAACCTTTACTTTAGCAAGATCTAGTAGCTAACGCAGAGATATTAGAGAAAGGAGGAGATAGGAATCCAAATGTGCAATGATCGAGTTACGTATAACGCCCCACCCAGCAGACTGTGGACCACTCGCGTTCACGTTGTCATGCTGCGTCGCTCAATCCCTTCTCAAAGTCAGGGTATGGGTTGATAAGCCTGCTATTTTCCTCGAAAGTACGTAATATCATGATTCCAAAGCTATACGATATTACAGAGAACGTTAATTATCTCACATTTCGGAAAATATTTGTAATGTTGTACTCACGAAATGTATGCTATTGTTGGTTTTTGGAGCTAGCGCTCCAATTCACGCCTTGCAAGAGAGCGCTCCTTGTCCCAGAATCGCCCGGTATGCACTGCGCGGCCTATTGACAACGCCTGGGCAACGTTCACAATGAGCTGTAATACGATTCCTGTGGAGTTTCCCCATCTCCTCAAAAGTATCTCTGGCTAATGTAGCTAACCCAAGAAACCTCTGAAGAACGTTTCATCAAGCGGCAGTCCAGAATGGCCGAGTCACCTTTGTCGGGTGTGAATGTAGTACTAGTTATGGCATATGGCAGCCTGGTAAGTGATATTTTAAATGCATTACTAGGTGCAATCAATTACTTAGCTATATATACACATCATTGGGTGCAATCCGTGAGAGATGTAACGTTAGCTAGCCAACTAAACTATGCATACAAATAGCCCCTGATGAATAGGCTAACAGTTAGCTATCTATCTAACGTTAATGTTACAGCTTCTTTGGGAGATATTGTTTCATGTCACATGCCTTAGACCAGGGTTGCCACAACCTTGTTCCTGGAGAGCTACCTTCCAGTAGGTTTTCGCTCCAACCCCAGGTGTAACTAACCTGATTCATTTTATCAAACCTGCTAATTATTAGAATCAGATGTGCTAGATTAGGGTTGGAGCAAAAACCTACAGGACGGTAGCTCTCCAGGAACAGGGTTGGGCAGTCCTGCCTTAGACCAACCCTGTTCCTGGAGAGCTACCCGCCTGTAGGTTTTCGCTCCACCCCAGTTGGAACTAACCTGGTTCAATTTATCGACTAGCTAGTACTAAATTAGATTCATTAGGGTTGGAGTGAAAACCTACAGGATGGTAACTCTCCAGGAACAAGGTTGGAGAGCCCTGCCTTAGACAATCTGGGTATATTTCACTACTTAAAATGACTTACAATTAGCACAAACTGGTATGGATTGTGTCTTTAAAAATGTAACCTATATTAATATTCTTGACATTCAGACTCAGTTTTTTTGCACAGGTGTTTGTATTGCTATTTATCTTCGTCAAGAGGCAGATCATGCGTTTCGCTATGAGGTCCCGCAGAGGACCCCATGCCCCTATTGGACACAACGCACCCAAGGCAAGACCCTCAGCTTTCAATAGAGACAATCCTCTCCATAATCTCTCTCATTTACTATCATCCTACTCTATGCTGCCATCAATCAAACAGAAATTAATACCATAGTATTTGTTCTCTTTGTATGTTGATGGTTTGAGCCTTGTTGATATTTCCGCAGGGTTTGCGGGAAGAGATTGATGCGCGCCTGTCCAAGGTTCAGGAAATTCGCTTCGAGCCGCGTCTCCTCTCTGAGGAGGATGATAGGCTGAGGCACGGGACACAGTTCAGTAAGTCACCATTCAAATGCATACATGCAACACGTGTTCTCTGTAGTGGAAGAGATGTTGTGTTTTTATAGTACTGTAATAGTAGCATTAATGACATCCATGATATTCTCAGGTTGCTACAACTACCTGTACAGGATGAAGGCTCTAGATGCCATTCGGGACTCGGGTAAGAGCCGATAGTAGAGAGGTATTTTAAAATCTATGGTTTAAAGAATGGATGTACATTACAATTGGCATATGTTCTCCTCTTTCTTATAATTATCCCTCCTCTCTCTCCAACCCCAGGGATCCCGCTGCAGGAGATGGGCCGCAACCCGAACGCCATCACAGGACGCAGTTTCCGCAACTGGCTGCTTGATCTGCGTAACTCCCACTCCCTGATCAAGAGCAGCCGTAGCACCCTCATTGACAACCTGTTGGAGGGATATGACAGCGCACGCCATGGCACAGGGGTAAGTGTTTGTGTGTGTGATTTTTGTTTTTGTGAATTGACTGTTTTCGTGTTGACAGTGTTCGTCAGTGGAAGTGACTTTCTCTGTGTTTTAGGTATTTGGTGAAGCGGAATATATGAAATACCAGGATGCTCTGAATGAACTGGCTGATGTGTAAGTATTATTACAAAAATGAATGTGTTTGCTCAACAAATAAATATATCAGTAGGAAGAGATGCCTTTGGTCCTCAACTCCTGTCACAGAAATCTTCACTATCATGCCATTTAATTTGAGTTTGACACTACCCTCTCTCTTCTCTCCACAGTGTGAAAGCCTACTCCAGCACCACCAGTCTGGACCAGCATCACCAGTCAGCAGCCAAGGACCTGATGGGCTCCCCAGCCCGCAGCACCCCCTCCACCATCCAAGTCACCTACCTGCCCTCCACCAGCCAGCGCAGCAAGAGGCCAAAGCACTTCCTAGAGCTCAAGAACTTCAAAGACAACTACAACACACTGGAGAGCACCATGTGAGAGGTGACTGTTGGGCAGTTTTGGGGTCAGTTCCATTTCAATTCCTGCTTGTTGAATCCATAGGAACTGTATTCGATAGCAATAATTGGAATTGACCCCAGCTTTGCTATGGGGACTACCAAAAACATAGTAACAGAGCAAGCATGTAGTGTATATACCCTAAAGCTTGTGGAAGATCGTATTGCATGTACGTTTTACTTTATTTCCATTGGACATATGGAGAATTGTCCCATAATACAAAGCATTTGAATGAAGTCATATCAGGGTCTTTATCCCAGGAATCTACTATGAGTCTATGGTACTTCAATGTACTGGTGCTGACACATACACTAGTGACAAAGACTGTTGTACAACAGTTATGCATTAAAACTGTTAATTTCCCCTACACTTGAATTGTCAACTTCACGTGTGTGTATATATGTGTATTGATTGATTGTTTGTATAGATGAAGAAAATTATATTTATATGAATTTCATGATTTATTTTAACTGTTTTTTTTACATGTAGAATCCGAACTGTGTAGTTATGTGATGTGTGTTGAGATTAAAACATGGAATGGAGCCAAATTAAACTCTCCATCGGTGTGTTTTCATTTCTCCACTAGATGGCATTAGCAAGTTGGGGAGCAACTTGGTCCACTGCATTTATTCAAGGAACAGTGCTTACAAAGTATGGAGGGTGATCAGTATGAAAATGCAAAGCTTAAATGCTAAATAGGAATGTGAAAATGATACATGAACATTTTATGTTCATATCAGATTGCATAATTCATGCCACAATTAAATTCCAAAGTTAAAATAAATCGAAAATGGTTACTAGAAAAAGCCAAATGTTGAACAGAAAATCGTAAATGCAAATTGAAAGTGGCTGTTTTCATTTTCCAACTACCCAATTAAGCATTTTCTCTTTTCAAAGTGTATGCATATTGCTTCTTGGAGGCGTGAACCAGGAGAGCAACACCACACCCCCATGTGGGCTCTCTGTACATTGATTTTAGACTAGAGTAACCAACACACAGGGTGAGAACCCAGGTCTCCTGCACACCAGAAAAGCATAGGCCTGGTAAGCTGAAGCCTAGGCATTGACTCAGGGAGCCAATGCAACTCTTCAGATCTCAGGCAAGGTTAGGCCTACTCATCATGCATGTCTGGTAACTAAACCATCTGAGTTCCAATTCACCATCCTTGACCTCTTCCTCCTCAGAGACACATCTGAGCCACGGCACAAATATGACAAGGGATTTTTCTGCCATTGAAATCCACCTAAGCATAAATAAAATAAAAGTATAAATTAATTTCAGAATAGAAAAAGGTGTTAAGTGTAAACTTAAACAACTAAACCAGATATAAAGTATGTAGGAAAGAGAATGTACCTACAGTTCCGACCAATTATATGGTCACCCTTTCCTTTAAATAATTCCCTATTTCTTCTAAAATAAGTTGAAGTATAAAAAATAAAATTGGTCACCACACATTGTTATTGGATTTTCAACATTGCAGAACCAATTTTATTTTGTAAACTTAAGATCACCATTTTTATTTAGAAAAGAAAGACGAATGGCATGGACAAAATTATAGGCACCCTGGAGCTATTACTTGGTTGCACAGCCTTTGGCCAAGATAACTGCCAACAAATGCTTCATGTTGCTGCACCTTTCTACTGGGAATTTGGCCCACTCTTCAGCAGCAAACTTCTGTAATTCTTCATTGTTTGAGTGGTGCCCTCCACCAATTGCTGTTTTCATCTCTCGCCATAGGTTATGGATGTGATTCAGATCTGGACTCTTTGCTGGCCACTCCAGAACAGTCCAGTGTTTCTTCTTGAACCATTCCAGGGTGCTTTTTTATGTGTGTTTTGGGTTGTTGTATTGATGGAAGACCCACAGCCTTTCGATGGACACCCAGTTTTTGGAACATGGGTTGAACATTGGACTCCAGAACACCTGATAATCTGCTGATTTCATGATGCCCTGCACATGTTCAAGGCCACCAGTACTAGAGGCAGCAAAGCAACCCCACAGCATTTTTAAACCTCCCCCATTTTTTATTGTAGGGATGGTGTTCTTTTCATTGAATGCTTTGTTTAGTTGTCGGTAAACACAGCACTGATCTGTATTGGCAAAGAGCTCTAACATGGGTCCACAAAACATTTCCCCCATGATTTAGGCTTGTTTGGGTGGGTTTTTGAGAAGTTCATTCAGGTTTTCTAGTCTCCTTCAGCAGTGGGGTCTTCCTATGTTTACCAACGACCAAATTAAGCAATAGATATATAGTGGACAGCACGCCTCAAACATTGAAGAATTAGAACAGTTTGCTGCTGAAGAGTGTAAATTAAAATTGTAAACTTAAGTTGACAAAAAAAAATTGGTTATTATTTGAGAAAAAATAGGGAATTATTTAAGAAAAGTGCAAGGGTGCGAACTGTATATATTATACAGTGAGGGAAAAAAGTATTTGATCCACTGCTGATTTTGTACGTTTGCCCACTGACAAAGACATGATCAGTCTATAATTTTAATGGTAGGTTTATTTGAACAGTGAGAGACAGAATAACAACAAAAAAATCCAGAAAAACACATGTCAAAAATGTTATAAATTGATTTGCATTTTAATGAGGGAAATAAGTATTTGACCCCTCTGCAAAACATGACTTAGTACTTGGTGGCAAAACCCTTGTTGGCAATCACAGATGTCAGACGTTTCTTGTAGTTGGCCACCAGGTTTGCACACATCTCAGGAGGGATTTTGTTCCACTCCTCTTTGCAGATCTTCTCCAAGTCATTAAGGTTTCGAGGCTGACGTTTGGCAACTTGAACCTTCAGCTCCCTCCACAGATTTTCTATGGGATTAAGGTCTGGAGACTGACTAGGCCACTCCAGGACCTTAATGTGCTTCTTCTTGAGCCACTCCTTTGTTGCCTGGGCTGTGTGTTTTGGGTCATTGTCATGCTGGAATACCCATCCACGACCCATTTTCAATGCCCTGGCTGAGGGAAGGAGGTTCTCACCCAAGATTAGACAGTACATGGCCCCGTCCATTGTCCCTTTGATGCGGTGAAGTTGTCCTGTCCCCTTAGCAGAAAAACACCCCCAAAGCATAATGTTTCCACCTCCATGTTTGACGGTGGGGATGGTGTTTTTGGGGTCATAGGCAGCATTCCTCCTCCTCCAAACACGGCGAGTTGAGTTGATGCCAAAGAGCTCGATTTTGGTCTCATCTGACCACAACACTTTCACCCCGTTCTCCTCTGAATCATTCAGATGTTCATTGGCAAACTTCAGACGGCCCTGTATATGTGCTTTCTTGAGCAGGGGGGCCCTTGCGGGGGCTGCAGGATTTCAGTCCTTCAAGGGCGTAGTGTGTTACCAATTCTTTTCTTGGTGACTATGGTCCCAGCTGCCTTGAGATCATTGACAAGATCCTCCCGTGTAGTTCTGGGCTGATTCCTCACCATTCTCATGATCATTGCAACTCCACGAGGTGAGATCTTGCATGGAGCCCCAGGCCGAGGGAGATTGACAGTTCTTTTGTGTTTCTTCCATTTGCAACTAATCGCACCAACTGTTGTCACCTTCTCACCAAGCTGCTTGGCGATGGTCTTGTAGCCCATTCCAGCCTTGTGTAGGTCTACAATCTTGTCCCTGACATCCTTGGAGAGCTCTTTGGTCTTGGCCATGGTGGAGAGTTTGGAATCTGATTGATTGATTGCTTCTGTGGACAGGTGTCTTTTATACAGGTAACAAGCTGAGATTAGGAGCACTCCCTTTAAGAGTGTGCTCCTAATCTCAGCTCGTTATCTGTATAAAAGACCTGGGAGCCAGAAATCTTTCTGATTGAGAGGGGGTCTAACACTTATTTCCGTCATTAAAATGCAAATCAATTTATAACATTTCTGACATGTGTTTTTCTGGATTTTTTTGTTGTTATTCTGTCTCTCACTGTTCAAATAAACCTACCATTAAAATTATAGACTGATCATTTCTTTGTCAGTGGGCAAACATACAAAATCAGCAGGGGATCAAATACTTTCTTCCCTCACTGTAGGTATGATAATAATATAATCTTTGAGAACCAACAATCACTAAAATAAAAGCTAGACAGTCAAGGAGAATTTAAAATTCCTAAAAACAATTAATTTGGCAGTATTGATTTTATTATCTTTTAGCGAAAAGAACAGCATTAGCCATGGCAAAATGACCACACACGTGATGAGTAACTTTGCCTAGTGTTAAGTAACTTTGCCTGAGACCAGAAAAATTGCATTGGCTCCCCAAGCTAAATTGCTTAGGCTTTGGCTTAGCAGGCTAAGATGTTCTTCTGGTGTACAGGACACCAGGTTCGAACCCTGTCAGTTACGCTAGTCTAAAATCAATGCACAGAGAGTGTCACATGGCTAAGATGTATCACTGCATGGGGGTATCTTGTTGCTCTCCTGGTTCACACCTCCAGGAAGGAATTTGCATACACTTTGAAAATGAAGAGAAAATGCTAAGTTGGAAAATGAAAACAGCTACTCTCCATTTCACTTTGCACATTGCATTTACAATTTACTATTAACCATTTGCCATTTTCTGTTTACCATTTTCATTTAGAATTTCTGTTTACTGTTTCCAATTTTCAAATAGCCATTTTCGATTTTCATTTTAACATTGCAATTTCATTGTGGCATGAATCATGCGCACTGATATGAAAATAAACACATTTATCATTTTTGCATTTCAATTGAGCATTTAAGCATTTTTGAACTGGCACTGATCACCCTCCATAAAAGTGTTTATTATAATAATGCTTTTTGGATCTCTCTTCATCTAACATGTGGGACAGAAAAAAAAGAGGGAACAACTTTTTTTCAACTACTTTAAATAAGCTTTATTTTGACAAACAAAGACACATAAAAGTGCAAGGACTACATGCACAAAACTACTACACAACTTATATCTACAATAGACAGAGGGACAGTTTTCACATGAAATATGCTTGGTTTGTAAAAGGGCCCATAACTGTAACAGAAAAAGAACAATTGTTTCACAAAATAAGAGCTCTTAATACCAATTTTGCTGTCTGGTTTAACAGTATAGGATAATACCACAACATGGTTGCGTCCCAAATGGCACCATCTTCCCTATATAGTTCACTACTTTTGACCAGGGCCCAAAGGGGGAATAGGGTGCCATTTGGGGGACACCTCATAATCATCAGTAGTTATATGCATGCAGGGTGTAATGATCGTTTAAACGCTCCTTTAAAATTATACCATCAATGGGGGCGGTCTAAGGCACTGCATAGCCCCCTGTAGCTCAGTTGGTAGAGCATGGCGCTTGCAACGCCAGGGTTGTGGGTTCGTTTCCCATGGGGGGCCAGTATGAAAAATGTATGCACTCACTAACTAAGTCGCTCTGGATAAGAGCGTCTGCTAAATGACTAAAATGTAAATGTAAAATGTAGAGGCATCACTACAGACCCGGGTTTGATCCCAGGCTGTGTCGCAGCCAGCCACCACCGGGAGACCCATGAGGCGGCGCACAATTGGCCCAGCGTCATCCGGGTTAGGGGAGGGTTTGCGCTCTAGCGACTCCTGTGGCGGGCCGGGCACATGCACGCTGACTTCGGTCACCAGTTGTACGGTGTTTCTTCTGACACATTGGTGTGGCTGGCTTCCGAGTTAAGCGAGCAGTGTGTCAAGAAGCAGGGCGGCTTGGCAGGGCCATGTTTCGGAGGACGGATGGCTCTCAACTTTCGCCTCTCCCTAGTCTGTACGGGAGTTGCCGCAATGGGACAAGACTAACTACCAATTGGATATCACGAAATTAGGGAGAAAAAGGCGTAAAAAGCAGAACAAATAAAAAATTATACCATCAAGGCCCAACCTCCATCTAATTTCAGACAAAAACAAGTAGATTAAATCGGAGACATCTTAATGTTAACAACCAACTGCATGCCTCTGTGTGTAAGGTGCACTGCAAACACAGGAATGTGACCTATGGACGCTGAAGCGGAGGTATCCTGGTTAAACAGGCTATGGAACTGGGTGCTGAAAACTCCCCCAGTGTGTGTGAGTGACAACATAGCTGCCCTGCTTTGTCTTCATTGTCTCTTCCTAGGGTGAACTAGAAAATACAGGCATCAACTATTTTAAAAGGTGCCACTTGCGCGCCAACTTGAAAATGAGCTCACTCCTTCTTATATCAAGTCATACCATATATTGGCCAAATCCCCAATTCTAGATACCGCTTGGGAAAAGTTGAGAGAGATAATAACGCACACATAAAACAGTCTCAAATGCGGTTATGCCTCCAGCAATAAAGTAATGATGGAACTGGGACTGTCACTGCAACCAGAGTGCTTTGTTACCATCGGGTTTATCTAGTGTATGTCAGGCACCAAATCACAACGAACCAACAGATATCGGTATCAGATATCGGTATCAACGCTAGGAGGTGGCTATACACTACCGTTCAAAAGTTTGGGGTCACTTAGAAATGTCCTTGTTTTCTAAAGAAAAGCAATTTTTTTGTCCATTAAAATAACATAAAATTGGTCAGAAATACAGTGTAGACATTGTTAATGTTGTAAATGGCTATTGTAGCTGGAAAAAGCTGATTTTTTAAAATGGAATATCTACATAGGCGTACAGAGGCCCATTATAAGCAACAATCAGTCCTATGTTCCAATGGCACGTTGTGTTTGCTAATCCAAGTTTATCGTTTTAAAAAGGCTAATTGAACATTAGAAAACCCTTTTGCAATTATGTTAGCACAGCTGAAAACTGTTGTGTTGATTAAAGAAGCAATAAAACTGACCATCTTGAGACTAGTTGAGTATCTGGAGCATCAGCAATTGTGGGTTCGATTACAGGCTCAAAATGGCCAGAAACAAAGAATTGTCTTCTGAAACTTGTCAGTCTATTCTTGTTCTGAGAAATGAAGGCTATTCCATGTGAGAAATTGCCAAGAAACTGAAGATCTCGTACAATTCTGTGTACTTCTCCCTTCACAGAACAGCGCAAACTGGCTCTAACCAGAATAGAAAGAGTGGGAGGCCCCGGTGCACAACTGAGCAAGAGGACAAATACATTAGAATGTCTAGTTTGAGAAACAGACGCCTCACAGGTCCTCAACTGGCAGCTTCATTAAATAGTACCCGCAAAACACCAGTCTCAACGTCAACAGTGAAGAGGCGACTCTGGGATACTGACCTTCTAGGCAGAGCTGCAAAGATAAAGCCATATCTCAGACTGGCCAATAAAAAGAAAAGATTAAGATGGGCAAAAGAACACAGACACTGGACAGAGGAAGATTGGAAAAAAGTGTTATGGCCAGACGAATCGAAGTTTGAGGTGTTCGGATCACAAAGAAGAACATTTGTGAGACGCAGACCAAATGAAAAGATGCTGGAGGAGTGCTTGATGCCATCTGTCAAGCATGGTGGAGGCAATGTGATGGTCTGGGGGTGCTTTGGTGGTGGTAAAGTGGGAGATTTGTACAGGGTAAAAGGGATCTTGAAGAAGGAAGGCTATCACTCCATTTTGCAACGCCATACCCTGTGGACGGCGCTTGATTGGAGCCAATTTCCTCCTACAACAGGACAATGACCCAAAGCACAGCTCCAAACTATGCAATAACTATTTACGGAAGAAGCAGTCAGCTGGTATTCTGTCTATAATGGAGTGGCCAGCACAGTCACCGGATCTCAACCCTACTGAGCTGTTGTGGGAGCAGCTTGACCGTAAGAAGTGCCTATCAAGCCAATCCAACTTGTGGGAGGTGCTTCAGGATGCATGGGGTGAAATCTCTTCAGATTACCTCAACAAATTGACAACTAGAATGCCAAAGGTCTGCAAGTCTGTAATTGCTGCAAATTGAGGATTCTTTGACGAAAGCAACGTTTGAAGGACACAATTATTATTTATATTAAATCATTATTTCTAACCTTGTCAATGACTACATTTCCTATGCATTTTGCTATATTTCCTATTAAAACTCATTTCAGGTATGTTTTCATTGAAAACAAGGACATTTCTAAGTGACCCCAAACTTTTGAACAGTAGTGTATATACACTACCGTAGTAACCAAAAAAGTGTTAAATAAATCAAAATATATTTTATATTTTAGATTCAAAGCTGTCATCAAGGCAAAGGGTGGCTATTTGAAGAATCTCAAAAATAAAATATATTTTGATTTGTTTAACACTTTTGGTTACTACATGATTCCATATGTGTTATTTCATAGTTTTGATGTCTTCACTATTATTCTACAATGTAGAAAATAGTACAAATAAAGAAAAACCCTTGAATGAGTAGGTGTTCTAAAACTTTTGACCGGTAGTGTATGTAAATAAGGTATATCACAGCACGTCAGAGAATTGTCCACAATGTACAAGAATATATACATGTTTTAAATAGCACATTGAAACAAAGCCCTATTGTGTAAGTATGTGTTTTTTCATAAAATAGGCTTGATTATAAAAAAAATGTTTTATATTATTTCATGAACCAAACAGTCTAAAAAAATTCTAAAAATAAAGAAAAACCCTTGAATGAGTAGGTGTGTCCAAACTTTTGACTGGTACTGTATATATATAATTATATATTTACACACTGTATGCGAGTTGGAGCACACAGAAGCTTTTGTCCAGGGTTAGACTATATTGTGGTTTAGTATGTGTTTGCCTTCCCGACCATCTGTCTCTCTCTTTTCCTCTATCCATCTCTCTTGATCTTTATATCTCTCAGCTCAGGACTTGATCTCGATGACTCTGATTAAAGGAAGTGACTTGTTGCCGTGCATTGATGGAGGTGTACATTAATTTTCTGCCACTTCCTTGGCCCTCCTTTCTGTTCTGGAACATTATACTGTATTGCTGCTCTGTTGTTCATGAAGATAACCTTCACACATTGACTGAATAGATTTTTGTGTAAACATTGTTTTGGTTTTTTTTACTCAATGAAAAATCTCCATTACAATAGCTTTTTAGTCCAGGAATAGGTTTAATCTGTGTCTGGGAAACCGGCCCTATAGAAATAAGAGACAGGAAGGTGTTGTTGTCACCTGTAGATAATCTGGGGATTGGGTTTGCATTCTTTGGTGGGCGTAGAAGCAGGCTTCTGACCCTCCAGGAAGTACTCTATCTGGTCACGCATCTCTGTGTTCTAGAGAGGAGAGGGGTCAAAGGTCATTCAGAGAGAGAGGGACCTAACACAGGGACCCCTATCCCTCAAAAACACACACACACACACATATCACAACACAGATAGCTGTATGAGTACTGACCTCAGCTTCCAGAAAAGCCACCTTCTCCTCTAGATCCCTGATCACTCTCTCTCTCTCCTGGATTACTGTCCGTGAGTTCTGCAGCTGTAACACACACAAAACAAATACACTTAGATACTACAGAGGAAAACCAACATTCACTCTAACTTCCACAGAAGAGGATGCATCATCACTTTTTCATGATGAGTGTTCTGTTTCAGCAAACAGTTTAGCTTGGTTTACAGTAACTCCCCTACTGCCTTTACAAACCAAAGTAATTAGGAACCCTCTACTCCCTCCTTTTCAATATAATTTTCCCATTGATGGCTGCTACGCATGCAGGGTTTGTGTATGTGCGCTCCATGCACATCCATCTGTGTGTATCTGCCGCATGTGTGTACGTGCGTCCATGCGTCCATGTGTGTGTGTTCTCACCTGTTCGATCATGTGGCGGACCTTCCTCTGCTGGCTCTTCAGCATGTCGTCCAGGTGATGGATCTTCTCCTTCAGGACAGCCAGCTCCTTCTCCAACTCCTCAGTTCTGACGACACACACCACAACCCACTGGTTACATAAGCATAATTAACATAATATTTACACTATATATGAACTTGCCATATTTATGGGTCCAGTTTAAAGAGAGTATACAGTATCCTTTTTAGTATCTTGTATAAATATGGCAATTCATAAACAGTGTAGGCTATACAGTAGCAGTGTCTGCTCCTGAGGACTGTAATGTTTATATAGTATTTCATATACAACTCATGTAGAGTAGTATATGAGTTGTATATGAGATACTATGTGCAGACAATCTACGTTTCAGTTGTATGACTGATTTGTACTCTTTATGGCGACAGAGCCTCCTCACCTCTGCTTTTTCTCCTGCACCCCCTCCTTGGCTGCTCTCAGCTGCAGCAGTTCAGCCTCGCTGGCGGCCATTTTGCCCCTCAGGACAGCACCCTCCAGCTCCATGCCCCCCAGCAGCCTCTCCAACTCCTCCACCCTCTGACTTCGCTCCCCCGCCTCCCCCTCCACCCACTGCAGGTGCTTCGACTGCTCGTCCAGGCGCCGGCTGAACTCATCGCTTTCAGCCTGAAGGGGGAGCCAGAGAAGTAAAGTTCCCAATTACATCTAGTTACAGTAATGGTCAGAAAATAGCTCAAATGTGTTACATGATCAGTGGATATTCAATTGTGGACTGGGATGGCTTTAAAGCAATTGACGTGTAAATACTAATATCAATGATGGATAACTGAGCATTCAGTCTTTAGGGGTCAACAGTAATAATTCTAGGTCATTCTTATCAATCGTACTAGGTCATCTAATATTACGCAACACATATTCATCATGATGACACTGAAACTGACTCTGTCCTGAGATGACACTGGATAACTGTTGAACGAAGAACAGAACGATAGATGGAGAGGATGATAGAGAGAGCGGGATGAAGGAAAGAGAGGGACACAGATGAGACTGTAGATAAGAGTAAAAAAAGGAAGCGGCAGAAGAAACAGAAAGAAAGAAAAGGGGATGCATTAAAGTAAAGAGAGAATCTATCCATACTTGATTTGTTTGTTGAACACTGACCTGCATTCTGTCTCTCTCCTCCTGGTGTCTCTTCTCTGACTCCTTCAGCTGGGCATACAGGCGCTTGCTCAGCTCCCTTAACTTTGCACTGTCCTCTGAATTCTCCCTGACCTTTGAGAGAGAGACATAGATTAGGCTAAGTGCAAGCTCAATGAACTCGAACACAGAGTGAGTGCTAGCTGCTGACATGTTATTTGCATACCATTTCCGTATTTTCCTGAGGTAAAAGGCCACCTAAATTTGTTGTTGTGTCAGGTGAATGTCAGGTGTCTGGCAGCTAAACACACTGGTTTTTCAGTTAAAATAAATTAAATGTTGGATCAATTAAAAAGTACAATCGTTTGTGTTATTTGTTTAATCAGGTTAACTTTATCTATTATTCTGACTTTTAGGTCAAATCTATGCAGAAATACAGTAAAATGCTAAAGGGTTTACGAACGTTCTCTCACCACTGTAGGTAATGGCTGTCTGGTGTCTTTTTACAGGATGTTATGTTGTGATGCACTGAAATTGGTATGTTGTTAGTGTGTGTGTGTGTGTATGTGTGTGATCTATGTCACTATACTTTTAAAATGGAGACCAGCAGCCATTTTACAAAACAGAGGGATGTGGTTTGTGAAAATGTATGTTTTTTTAAAGTATTTTAGTTTGAATATAAATGTAATTTTCAGTTCATATTCATATCCCTATTCAAATCGTCTCCACAGTAGTTAAATACTTTCTTTCAATAAAGCACTAATGTGAAACTGATGCAAACAAAAAAAAAACATTTTAGAGAACAAAAGTTTGAGTTAATGTTGATATGCAAATAAGGTCTTACATTTGTTTCTGACTCAGTCCCAACAATTTTACCATTGGTGACAATTGCTGGGTTGGTAGGCTGGGTGACACTGACTCTGTAACCATTAGCTGGAAACTGAAGGAGAGAGCAGGGGTTAGTGGAGTTAGTCCAGCGTCGTCAGTATTTGTATCTATTTGTTTATATTTGAGTATTAGAAAGTATAAGAAAGATTGAATAGGTACAGTGCCTTCCGAAATTATAATTTTTTTCCCCACATTGTTGTGTTACAGCCGGAGTTTAAAATTGATTCAATTGAGATTTTGTGTCACTGGCCTACACACAATACCCCATAATGTCAAAGTGTAATTATGTTTTTAGAAATTTCTTCAAATTAATAAAACATGAAATGTCTTGTTATGGCAAGCCTAAATAAGGTCAGGAGTAAAAATGTGCTTAACAAGTCACATAATAAGTTGCATGGACTCCCTCTGTGTGTAATAATAGTGTTTAACATTATTTTTGAATAACTACCTCATCTCTGTACCCCACACATACAATTATCTGTTAGGTCCCTAAGTCGAGCGGTGAATTTCAAACACAGATTCAACCACAAAGACCAGGGAGGTTTGCCTCGCAAAGAACGGCACCTATTGGTAGATGGGTAAATATAATAAAAAGCGGACATTGAATATCCCTTTGAGCATGGTGAAGTTATTAATTACGCTTTGGATGGTGTATCAGTACACCCAGTCACTACAAAGATACATGCGCCCTTCCTAACTCAGTGGCTGGAGAGGAAGGAAACAGCTCAGGGATTTCACCATGAGGCCAATGGTGACTAAAACAATGACAGAGTTTAATGGCTGTGATAGGAGAAAACTGAGGATGGATCAACAACATTGTAGTTACTCCACAATACTAACCTAATTGACAGAGTGAAAAGAAGGAAGCCTGTACATAATACAAATATTCTAAAACATGTATCCTGTTTGCAACAAGGCACTAATGTACTCCTGCAAAAAATTTGGCAAAATGTTATATTTGGGGCAAATCCAATACAACATATTACTGAGTACCACTCTCCATATTTTCAAGCATAGTGGTGGCTGCATCATGTTATGGGTATGCTTGTAATCGTTAAGAACTGGGGAGTTTTTCAGAATAAAAAAATACATGGAATGGAGCTAAGCACAGGCATAATCCTAGAGAAAAACCTGCTTCAGTCTGCTTTCCACCAGACACTGGGAGATGAATTCACCTTTCAGCAGGACAATAACCTAAAACCCAAATATACACTGGAGTTGCTTACCAAGACAACATTGAATGTTCCTGAGTGTCCTGGTTACAGTTTTGAATTAAATTGGCTTGAAAATCTATGGAAAGACTTGAAAATGGCTGCCTAGCAATGATCAATAACCAACTTGACAGAGCTTGATGAATTTTAAAAAGAATAATATACAAATATTGTACAATCCAGGTGTGCAAGGCTCTTAGATACTTACCCAGAAAGACTCACAGCTGTAATTGCTGCCAAAGATGATTCTAACATGTATTGACTCAGGGGTGTGAAAACTTATGTAAATTAGATTGTTACGGATACAGGTATCCTGTATGTGTTTTTGTGTTTTTCCACTCCTTCTGCCTTAATCACAGGTGTCCTTTGTGTTCCTGATTGGAGGTCGTTGGTGTGTCTCACCTGTCAGTCATCAGTTCATCTGCTGATTGCTGAGGTGGACCAAGCAGTGACCACTTCTCCTGATTGCACCACCTGTTTCTGGTTTTCATACCTAATCACATCACACATCCCCTTGCTTTAAAAGCCAGTCAGCTGTGTGTTCTCACAGAGACTCTTTTTGTTTGTGAGTATGGATACTGTGGTGTCTTGTTTTTTGAGTACGCACGCATTTGCTGTTTACTCCATATGGTAACTATGTTGTTTGTTTGTTCCTGGGAAAAGGGAATTTTTAGCAAGTCACCCTTGGACATACACTACCCGTAGGAAAACGTTGTCTAAAAACAAGAGTTAGACCTGCGCGGACCACCAACTGTATTTTTGTGTCGTTAGTTGTAAGCTTAGCGGTTCTTGAGGCAGGCAAGATCAGTTTAGGGGTTTTTGACATTGTTTCATTCCTTGGGTCCTGCTCAGTCCCTTTTCCCCAAACCTTTACTGTGTGTTTATAATAAACGTTTGTGTTTGACAGTAGTTTTTTGGTTGTCGGTGTATTTTTTTGTTCTCACTGTTCCTTGGCAATATTCTAATTCGCATGAGTTATGTTACGGGTCTCTTCCATCCACCCTAGACTTTTAAAGCCACAGGGTTCATAACAGAGAATTCTGTATCTCATTTTCAATAAATTTGCAAACATTTTATAAAAACACGTTTTCACTTTGCCATTATGAGGTCTTATGTGTAGATGGGTGACAAAAAAATATATATTTAATTCATTTGGAATTCAGGCTGTAACACAACTGAATGTGGAATAATCAAGGGGTATGAATACCTTATGAAGGCACTGTACATTGTTATTATTCTGTCTGGTGGCCATCTGTTCCCTCAAGGTCTTCAGACAGTACCGAACCTAAAGAGAGAGACAACACATAACTCACTGTTTTTTCCCCCCGCTACACCAGCATACACACACACTAGAAGGACTTCACATCAATAACACACACCCTTCCTCTGTACACCCAACCCACCCATTAATTTCCCTGTCCTTCAACAGAACACCACCCACTGGGTAATGTTGAGTCATTCTCCCCTATTGCTGGTGCAGAGAACTAAATCAAGATGGCCACACTCACTGACCTCCTGTATCTGAGACACCTCGTCTGTCAGCATCTTGACACTGCTGGTGTTCTCCTTCTCTGTTTGTGGGACTCGAGGTACACCTGTACAACACAGCAGGGGTATTATGTTAGTCAAGGGCAGCTCTGTTATCACGCACACACACACCAATGCACACAGGCTTAAACTTGCTCATACACACCTTAATGACCTCTACTTTCTGTTTTCCGAAACTGGGATCAGATTTAGCCTCTGGCTGGTCTGGTATTCACTGTTTGACTGTGGCTGTGACTGTGAGAAATAGAGTAAGAATACAATACCATATCATCCTGATTAATATTTTGTAATAGTGAAAATAAGAAGTTGTAAAAAGAAAGATCAATGTACCTTGTCACTGAACTGTTCTAATGACTGTGTCAACTGGTTCTGTTCTTGTAAAGTGAGTCTGAGCAGCCTGCACCTGATCTGAAACCAGAGACGAGGACTAAGATGAGAAGGAAAAGGGGATGGGAAGACAAAGGAGGGGTGTAGAGAGAGAACAGGGCAACCGGTAAGTGAGAGTGACATGGTACAGAGGCAGGAGCAGTGGCCTATAAAACTGTCCATAGAGAAAGTGCTAATGGGCAAACAGTGCTGCTATCTACCCATCTATCCCTTTACACTTTCCAGACTGTCCAGATAAATCACTGACTGTTTCCAGTGGCATGTATTCATGGAAGCCAGGCTTCCTAAAAAAAAGTTTAAAAAAACTTGTCTCTCTGTGTTTTATCATTTTCCTTCAATTCGCAAGAGGCTGAATGTATCTCACCGGAGAAAGCATCCCAGCGAGCAAAACAGCACCCCCCTGTCTCTGTATGTGTAGGTTATCTATGTGATGCTGTCTGGTCAAAAAGATTATGACATTGTTACCGCTCGTAGCAAGCCACATCATATTTACCTTACGTTGATTGGACTAAATTGTTTTTGGTATCTTTTGTTTGTCACTGTATTGGACTAAGCATAGGTGATTTGATTAAGTTGAAATGGTGCTGGTTCCATTTGGGACGCAGACACTGACTGCCTGATGTTTCCACCGCGCCGCTTTTCTAATCCAACTCTGGATCTGACCTAAAATTACAGTAACTAACTGGAAAAGTCAAGCCAGGCCAACGGAGTACTGTAGGTCCTAAAATAACAACACATTCCACATTAGGGATGGCTGTCACTTCACAATTGTGTCCCGTCCCCTTGGCAATACATGCAAAATGTTGACAACATAGCAATATATACTGTTAATAGACTATTTGTTCTCTACTGTATGGACCGAATATGAAAAAGTGTACTAGGATGGAAGTCTTTATCATAAATAAGGCATTGATTTCAATGGGGTCAAAATACCTGTTATGCTAGTAAATCTTAATTTATGACATATGTGAATTAACTCAGGTGATCCTCCTTATATCATTTACAATTACATGGACAATGCTTAAGTTATTGAAAAATAATGGTTGAGTAACAATGGTATATTCTGGAATCATCCCACTGGCCACAGATTGGTTGAATCAACGTTGTTTCCATGTCATTTCAACCAAAAAAATCAATGTGATGACGTTGAATCAACGTGGAAAACTGATTGGATTTGCAAAAAGTCATCAATTTAAGGGGATTTTGTATTTTCCCAAAAAAGTTTTAACCTAAATCCAATGACATTTTGACATTTTTTGTTGATTTCTCGTTGAATTCACGTTAGTTGAAAACTCAACCAAAACTAGATGTTGAACTGATGTCTGTGCCCAGTGGGATCATTGTAAAAGGAGCCTTATCAAATGAGTTTTAAACACTTAACTTCAAACTTTTGATGTTTGAAACTGTCATAAGGTTACATAATTTGAGTCTTTCCTCGAAAATAAACAAATATTCTCTTTGGGGAAAACCCCTTTTTAATAAGGGAGCGTTATGACGAGTTTCTCTGGTATCAAGTAATTAATGATGCAAAAAGGTATTTAACACTTAGATGGAGAGTTGATGCAGAGTATTTACATTTGAGTCATTTAGCAGACGCTCTTATCCAGAGCAACTTACAGTTAGTGAGTGCATACATTATTATTATTATAATTTGGCCCCTCGTGGGAATCGAACCCACAACCCTGGCGTTGCAAACGCCATGCTCCACCAACTGAGCTACATCCCTGCCGGCCATTCCCTCCCCTACCCTGGACGACGCTGAGCCAATTGTGCGCCGCCCCATGGGTCTCCCGGTCGCGACAGAGCCTGGATTCGAACCAGGATCTCTAGTGGCACAGCTAGCACTGCGATGTAGTGCCTTAGACCACTGCGCCACTCGGGAGGCTGTTTAATTGATACGGTACCGGGTTCGCATAAAAAACGGCACAGGCGTTGCCTCCTTGTCACGAATTCAGCCAAGGCTGCTCCTCCTCCTTGCTCGGGCAGGCTTCGGCGTTCGTCGTCACCGGAGTACTAGCTGCCACCGATCTATGTTTCTGTGTTCTACTTGTTTTGTCTATATTGCACACACCTGGTTCCAATTACGATAATTTGTTTCCTTATTTTACCCTCTGGTTCCCTCATGGTGTTGTGCGTGATTGTTCATTGTTTTGTTGTCATTGACATGTGAGTCGGTATTTTCTTCCCTGCGTGGAAGATATGTTTATTTACTTGTGACAAGTAAAGTACGTCGTTGACTAAGTTCTGTGTCCTGCGCCTGACTCCGTCCTACCGCTACACACTGACGCATGACAGAATCACGCACCATTATGGAGTCAGCAGGTACATCTATTCCTCCAGGATCAGTGGAGGAATGCATCCAGCAGTTCTCGACCATGCTACAGACTCTTGGCACAGCCATGGATCGAGTGGTACAGACTATGGAGCGATGGGAGAGGGTGGGGTTTTCTACACCTCCTTCCACTACTATTCACTCCACACCGATGTCCACCGCTTCACCACCTGGATCCAGTGGGATTCGGCTTTCGCTCCCGAGGGCATATGATGGAACAGCTGCCGGGTGCCAGGGGTTTCTGCTCCAGGTGGAGCTCTACCTGGCAACCATCCACCCGGCTCCCTCGGGATACGAGAGCGTGTCCGCCCTCATCTCCTGTCTGTCGGGGAAAGCGCTCGAGTGGGCCAATGCTGAGTGGGGAGGAATAGACGCGGCATCGGTGCGCTATGAAGATTTCACCCGCCGTTTCCGGGCGGTATTTGATCATCCACCGGAGGGGAGAGCGGCGGGGGAATGGTTGTTCCACCTCAGACAGGAGAAGAGGAGCGCACAGGACTTCGCACTGGACTTCAGGACCTTGGCAGCCAGCACAGGATGGAATGAGAGGGCCCTGATCGACCATTACCGATGCAGCCTACGGAAGTTCGTCGGGAGCTGGCCTGCAGGGACACAACCCTTAATCTGGACCAGCTGGTGGATTTATCGATACGACCCACTGACGTCCGGATCAGGGTCCGTCCAGTCCATTCCCCAGCACTTCCGACCCTACACCGATGGAGCTCGGAGGTGCAGATCTAAGGGTGACCGGAAGGGGGGTTGTTTCCTGCACCAACTGTGGCCGCAGAGGACACACTGCTGGTCGGTGCTGGAAAAGGCCGGTGCGCCTGCAGTGGTCAGCTGAGGCGGACAGGGCTTTTGGTCACCTGAAGGCTCTGTTCACCTCGGCTCCCGTGCTGGCTCATCCGGATCCCTCCTTGGCATTCATAGTCAAGGTGGACACTCGGGTACGCCACCAAAGCTCCGCCCCTGTGCTTTCTTTTCGAAGAAGCTCAGTCCGGCGGAGCGTAACTATGATGTGGGGGACCGGGAGCTGTTAGCTGTTGTTAAGGCTCTGAAGGCGTGGAGATATTGGCTTGAGGGGGCAAAACACCATTTCCTCATTTGGACTGACCACCACAATCTGGAGTACATCTGGGCGGCGAGGAGACTGAACCCTCGCCAGGCAAGGTACTCTCATACTGACCAGGTTCCCAGAATGCTAAGGCAGACGCTCTGTCCCGGCTGTATGACACAGAGGAGCGGTCCAGGGAGCCCATTCCCATACTTCCGGCTTCTTGTCTGGTGGCACCGGTGGTATGGGAGGTTGACGCGAACATCGAGCGGGCGTTACGCACGGAGCCCACTCTCCCCCAGTGTCCAGTGGGTCGTGTGTACGTTCCGTCTGATGTTCACGATCGATTGATCTATTGGGTTCATACGTCACCCTCTTCTGGTCATCCTGGCATCGGTCGGACAGTGTGCTGTCTTAGTGGGAAGTACTGGTAGCCTACTTTAGCTAAGGACGTGAGGGTTTATGTTTCCTCCTGCTCGGTGTGCGCCCAGTGCAAGGCACCTAGACACCTTCCCAGAGGGAAATTACAACCCCTACCCGTTCAACAACAGCCGTGGTCACACCTATCGGTGGATTTCGTTACGGACCTCCCCCCGTCACAAGGGAATACCACGATCTTAGTCGTTGTGGATCGGTTTTCTAAGTCCTGCCGTCTCATTCCTTTGCCCGGTCTCCCTACGGCCCTACAGACTGCGGAGGCCCTGTTTACTCATGTCTTCCGGCACTACGGGGTACCTGAGGATATAGTGTCTGATCGGGGTCCCCAGTTCACATCAAGGGTCTGGAGGGCGTTCATGGACCATCTGGGGGTCTCGATCAGCCTGACCTCTGGGTTTCACCCTGAGAGTAATGGGCAGGTGGAGAGAGTAAACCAGGATGTGGGTAGTTTTCTGAGGTCCTATTGCCAGAACCGGCCGGGGGATTGGTCAGTTTACATCCCCTGGGCAGAGATGGCCCAAAACTCCCTCTGCCACTCCTCCACTAACCTGTCTCAATTTCAGTGTGTACTAGGTTATCAGCCGGTCCTGGCACCATGGCATCAGAGCCAGATCGAGGCACCTGCGGTGGATGAATAGTTTTGGCGCTCGGAGGAGACCTGGAACGCTGCCCATGTACGCCTGCAACAGGCGTGCATGGGTAGCGCCGACCGCCACCGCAGTGAGGCCCCGGTGTATGCCCTGGGGGACCGGGTCTGGCTCTCGACCCGAAACCTGCCCCTTCGCCTGCCCTGCCGGAAGCTGGGTCGGCGGTTTGTGGGGCCATTTAAAGTCCTGAGGAGATTGAACGAGGTTTGTTATGGGTTACAGCTCCCTCCTGATTACCGTATTAACCCCTCGTTCCATGTGTCTCTCCTCAGGCCGGTGGTAGCTGGTCCGCTCCAGGAGTCTGAGGTGCGGGAGGTCCCTCCGCCCCCACTGGACATCGAGGGGGCACCGGCGTACTCGGTCCGTTCCATCCTGGATTCGAGGCGTCAGGTGGGGGGCCTGCAGTATCTCGTGGAGTGGGAGGGTACGGTCAGGAGGAACAGTGCTGGGTTCCTAGGAGGGACATCCTCGATCCCTCCCTGTTGAGGGATTTCCACCGTCGTCATCCGACTCACCCTGCTCCGCGTCCTCCTGGCCGTCCCCGAGGCCGGTGTCGGCGCACGGCTGGAGCCGCGCGTCA